AGGAGGAGGAGGAGGAGGAGGAGGACGGGTGGCTACAGGCAGGAGAGCCGGGGCTGGGAGAGGGGGAGGAGCCCACTCTCTCTGCCCTCCACCGCCACCTCAGAGGGAAGGAGTCAGGCCAGTGTCCTTGTCCACCTTGGTGGGTGGGCTCTGGGGACAGAGGGTCTTGGACCTGCCAGCAGCTTGGGGCCCCGGATCCACACAGTGGCCCACAGGTCTACACAGAGCAGCCCCGGGGGCAAGTGGGCAGCTTGTTGGGAGGCAGCCCCTCCCCCAGGAGAGGAGACACACAGGTGCTGGGACCAACCTTGGGGTCAGAGACCCTGGAGCGGCTGTGCCTGATGTCATGGTGAGGGGTCTCAGAGAGAGCTGCCCTGAAGGGTGGGGGGCAGGGCTTGGAGGCCCTGTCTGTCAGGGCCCCATGTCAGAGCACGACGATGGGATTTGGCGGGGTTTCTGTGGCCGTGGCTGAAGGGTGGGGGCCAGGCGGGCTTCCTGGCACAGCCCTCCTTTCCCTCAGAGAACTGGCACCTCACTTGGTGCTCAGAACGCCACAAGGGCGGGGCCAGGCCAGAGAGACCCCGACAGAGGTGGAGAGTCCTGGAGCACCCTAGAAAAATGAGTGTTCCCACTTTAGGGAAAAAACAACTGAGGCCTAGAGAGGGGTGTATTTCTCCCCACACTCGGCTCCCTTGGCCTGAGCCTTGTGCCCAAGTCTTTTACCAAACAGGTGTGTTGTGAGCAGGGGTGGTCAGTGGGGGGCCCGGGCCTGCCTGCATGGTGCCCCAGAGTCCCACACTCACACTGCAGCCCTGGATGCAGGAGGCCCCCACAGAGACACAGATGCCTCCAGAAAGTACCTCCCAACCCCTCACACCACCTCTGGGGCCTCTGGGCCTCAGTTTCTCCTCTGTAGCCTCCTGGGCACGCCCTGCAGCCCCATCAAAGTGCACCCTGAGCTCCCTGGGTGCCGCCTCCTCAGAGCAAAGGAAGGGAACGGTCACGGTGAGGCTTGCGCAGTGACCTCAGGTGTGAGTGGGAAGGGTCCGCCTCCCGGGGCGCCTCTGCCACCCCAATAGTGCCCTCCCTGTCTGCTGTCTGAAAGCCAGTGCAGTGCTCAGCGTAGGACTGCTTCGGTTCACAGCCAAACAAGACGCGTTGGCAGCCTCTGAGAACATGGAGGGGCCGTGCCAGGCATTCAGGCCGGGCCAAGGGCGGCGGGCGTAGGGCTTGAGGTCTGGCTGGCCTGGGAATGCGCCTGCCAAGGAGCCGACGCCAGGCGCAGTCTCTGTGGCCTGGGCCCCGGGCTGTCTGGCCCTGCGGAGCAACCCCACCTGAACCCTGACATGCTGGCTGCAGCCCACCCGCCCATCCCTTGCCATGGACGGCTGTGGGCTAGGCTTGGCTGTGACGCAGAGAGGAGGGATGCGTGCCGCCCGTGGGTCTCCTAAAGGCCGACTGCGCATGCATGTGCGCATGTGTGCCCGATGCCCGGTGCCTGCATGCACACGTGGGCGGGGCTGCAGCCCCGCCCGGACTGACCCAGGCCATTCCCCGAGCCCCTGGCCTTTGCAGTGCAGAGCAGATGCCCAAGTTTGGTGGCCGGGGCAGCTCCTTCCAGCTGTGGCCCTGGCACTCCTGGGGCACATCTGGGTCCTGCATTTCAGGACACTCAGGCACAGGATGGACCTAGGTACCAGAGACTGTCTTCGGTTGGCACCTGCTAGGTGTTGAGGTGGCTGGTCCGTCAAGGGAGAGCCTTCTCTCCCCTACCCCCACTCTGCTGAGAAATCTCTGGAAAGGAGCCTCGCAGAACGGCCCTCCCACAGTGGAGAAATCCAGGCTCCTGTTCGACAAGTGCTAGAGCCTTTGAGGAAGGAGAGGTTGCTGTCACCTCCCAGGGATGCGGCAGGGGACTCGAGTGATTTCTTTATCTAGAGATCCCTCTCCTCTGTTGACCAAAAGAAGGATATGACCCTTTTAACATTTGTTGAAGGGGTAAACTGAGGCTCGGAGAGTTTCCCCAAAATTCATGGCCAAAGCCACCGGCGAGGACATACAGTCCTACTTTGGGCTCAATTGCTCTGAAATGACCACATTTGGTGCTCAGTGCATTTTGGCATGAAAGTACTGTCCTGGTACACATCGTCTGCTCGGTACTGGACTTGCAAGCCAGTACTTGTCAGTGTCGACTGCCTGGTGACTCGCTGTATGCTCGGCCCTCATGGTTATAGGGCTCATCAAGCCTCCCAGAACCAATCAATGACACACCACAGTGGTAGAGCTGGGAGCCCACTGTGTCTTCCTGTGTCCCTGCCATGCTGAGCCTTGCTCCTTGGGAGGGAGGCTGGCGTTTTCGGCAGCCCCTTCACCATCCTTGTTCCCCTGCTCTCTGCCAGGGGCTCTGCTTGGGATGAGACTCAACCTGCTTAAGGCTGCAGGGAGGCTGAGAGCTGGGCCCTCATTAGGAAGCCCTTCCAGCCCGTGGGAAAGCAGTCAAGGCTGAGCCTGGATTCAGATTTCTGGAGGACAAAAGAAATAGCCCTAGGGCCTGCCCTCTGCCTCACCTTCCAGTGGGCTTTTTCCCAAATCCCAAACTTGTGGCAACCCAGGCCTTGGCCCGCAGGGACCAGCCAGGGCTGCACTGGCCAGCAGCTCCCAGGAGAGAAGCAGCAGCTAGTTCGGGTTTAGCCCCGCTCCGGTCCTGAGGATGTGCCATCACAGGGAGGGGTGCAGTGGTGCCATTCCGTGGGTCCCTCCTTGGCCACCCCAGGGGCTGCCTTGGGCAGGAGCCTTAGCCAGTCGGTAAAGAAGTTGAAGGGCAGTGTGGGTGTGAGGGCAGCACCTGAAGCCCCAGAGATACCCAAGGATTCCAGACCCAGTGGGGTGGGGGCTCTGGCTGTGGGCTCTGGGTGGAGGAAAGGAATCAAAGGCCTGGAAAGGAAGAGGGGAAAGAGCCCAGCCCCCACTCCTCAGAAGCGGTGGCCCTGCACGACCCGCATCTTCCCCTAAAGAACCCTGGGAAGCTGGCACGTTCTGGAAAGCTAGAGGACAGGGCTGAGTGACACTGCCACCCCACGTGGGTGCCGTCCCTCGGGCTCGCCCCGACTGGCCTCGGTGAGATTTGCAGAGCTCAAGTGATGGCGCACCCCTGTCGTCCCAGTACTCGAGAGGCTGAGGCAGGAGGATCCCAAGTCCCGCCCAGTCTAGGCAACTTGGCCAAACCCTGACTCGAAAAGCTGAGAACTAATAGAAGGCTGGGAATGTAGCTCAGGACTAAGGGCCTGGTCCAAACCCCAGTACTGGGGTGCGGAGGTCTGCAAAGGCCCAGGGTAAACAGCCAGGGTGCGGTGTGGCCCTGACCCCCTCCGGCCAGGATCTGAGCATGAGAGGGTGGGGGTGGGAGAGTGTGCGACCTGCCCTTCCCAGGGCCCAGTAGAGCAGGGCCGGGCCAGAGGACACCAGCTCAGCTAGCCTGTGCCCCTGGGCCTATGGCTGTGTGCCCGGGATAGTCCCCACCGGCCCCAGATCCTCAGTGCTGGTGAGGTCTCTGTGCTGGTTGTGGCCCCGAGGTGCCTGGGGTGGAGACTGCTGCCAGCCTGGAAGCGGGGAGCAGGGGAGAGGGACTCGCTGGGTGCACCAGTCAGGGGGCAGTGTGGGGGTGGAACTTTAGCAGGTGAGCATCCTGCGGGTGGGCTCTGGAAGCAGGGAGACTGGGGCAGCATCCCCAGCCCTTGTATAAGATGCCAAGGAATCAGAAGTCCTCTCCGAAGCCTCCAGATGCAAACTATCAAGTGTGGCCTCATTATAAATCCTCTCTCCGAGCATTCGATGCTGTCACTGGAAGGGACACTCTAGGCCCTTTAG